TAGATTATGTGTGCAAAGTGTTCATTTTCCAGGAGAAGGAAGTTGTGGAAATCAAGTTCTGGATTGTGATCATCCGTGGAAATGGAAATGAAATGTTTATTCTCAAGACATACCAAGCGTTTGCCCTCTTACAGGTGATCTAAAAGGGTTCAGCATCACTAGCGTTTTCATGAAGGGCTTCTCCCATCTCTTAGTGCTTCTCGAACTTTGGCTCTGGCATTCTCTCCCTTGAGCTGGGCTGTTTCATTAAGCAGCTGCCTGTCTGGGCTGGGACCGTTGGGGGTCTTGCTCTGGCCCCAGCCGTGATGGCATCACGTCCTACGCCGCTGTGTTCTGGCACGATGTGTGGGATATGTGTGGGAAAGAAGGGTCAGCTGCATGCAGGAGAGAAGGTTCTGAGTTTTATGGGGACTGGTGATGGCTGTGCCTCAGTAGTGGATGTCATTGAATTCAGTCATGTCATCCTCTTCAAAAACCAGGAAAGAGCCTGTGTGTGTGCGTGTCTGTGTGTTTAGATGGATATTAAGCTCTGTGGGGTCTCTTCTCCAACCAATTATATACCTAGAAAATAACATTTTGCTTTCAGAGATTTGAGAGTCATCTGGATTAGAGTACACCATAAACCACTGAAACAGCCCAATCCTAAAAGACACATAGATTGAAATAATCTGTCAGACTTGGAATAACTGGAAAAAAAAAAAAAAAAAGTCCCAGCAATAACTGAAAAATACAGGCTTATTTGAGTCTCAAAGATAGCCTTTGGGAGCGTACAGACAGAGGTCTCATTGTCTGCAAGGACCCTGCTGCTTCAGGGGTTCCCCCGGACCATCCTCTTTTGAATCTAAGGTGGAACAGACTTCTTTTTTTGTCACACAACAGTCCCTGCCCCACTCACCCCAGGATTGAGCCTTCACAATTACACTGAGTTTTGTGGGGAAGCTGTCAAAAGACTTTTTCTTATCAAAGCAGTCAGAGTGACACAATCATTCCATCTCAAGCCCCTCCTTTTTGCTTCCCTCTGACCAGTGCTGAGTGGAGTTACCTATTCATCGGGGCTGCCTAATGGTTTCGCTGTGAGCGGTTTCTGGAGAATGCAGACTATAATGGGAGAGAGAAAGGCTGCAACCGGGTTGTCTTTCTTTCCTGGGAACTTCTTTTCTGAAGCAACTGAATGAGGCCTTTGCAGGCGAGGGTGGTGGCCTCCCCTTCAGAATGCCTGGCCTGTTTCCCAGTGTGAAACATTCCCCAAATATGCAACTTTGCAAGTGTCCCAGCCGCCAGAGCCCAGAGCCGCCTGCGGGCCCGGAGAGCTGGCGTTCCCCCCGGGGTGCCGGGGCGGGGGCGCCCCTGCGCTTGCCAGATGCCAGGACGCCCCAGCCCCTAGTTACATCGTCCAGGGAAAGAATCTGTCCAACAGCCCGGCTGTGACAAGAGCTTGAAGCTTCTCTCTCTCTCTTTAAATCTCCTCCTTCATTTAAATCCAATCCTATAAAAAGGCTTTTGTTGAAGGAGCGGCCATGGCATCGTGGTGCACGGCTGTGTCACCGCTCTCAGTGTGTCCAAAGATGGACAGAAGGAACATCGTTCGTTGAATTCCTGAGCAAACAGGTCTGAAAATTGACTTGGAGGGAGGAGAGGTATACGGCAGTGGTCACGTGGCATTTGTCGTGTCTGCAAGGGATGAAGCCAAAGAGGAAGGGAGTTTCTCGTGGATGGTAAGAAGCCCCCCGCCAGGGAGTGCCTGGGTGGCACTGTCCTTGCTACGTGTCTGGGGAAGGGCCTGCTTGGGCAGGCAGAGCTCGGGCTGCACTGGGCTGGTTGCTTAGAGGTGCATTTGGAAGCTGGGGTTAGCAGGGTCTGGCGCTGCGTCGATCACGTGGGGAAGGAAGGGCTCTGATTCCTTTACCACCTCTTGCGGAGGGAGCCACTTGCGCCTACCTTGCTCAAGTCTGCTTTTGTGGGTTCCTACAGCATAGAGCCACACCCAAAGTACCATCAAGGAAATGACCATTCATTTCTCCTTGGCTTAAGTTTTGCTCCATTTCGTGTCATCTTAGTGCTAGTGAACCTCCCGAACAGTCTTTGTTTCAAGGAGGCCACTGACGAAAGGACCGAGAAAGGGGATGGTTTCCTGTGTTTTGCTGATTGTCATTTTATCATTTACTTACTCAGTTTGATGCTCTTTTGCTTTAGCTTTAAATGCATACGGTTGTCAAAAGCAAAACCAACCATGCCAAAAAACGATGCCCAACAAAGTATAGATTTTGGTATTCATATAAATAAACGTTCTCTCTCATGGCTTAGTTGAATTATTTTTCTGGAAGCTCAGTCCTTTGTTGGCTTAAGCTCTGTGACATTGTTCTGTTTTGGAGTTTCTTCATTTTCAGGCATTTGGAGTAAATTCTTAATTTCACCCTCTATTGTGTGGGTTTTCTGCCACCTTTGACTTCTTTTGCTTTTTGCCCATATTCTTGTAATGCTTTCTGGCTTCTTGCTTCTTTGAGCACATCCCTGCTGCTATGCCTTTGGATTTTTCCCTAGCTCTCCCTTGGCATTGATTGTCTGCCATGCCCGTTTTTCCAAACCCTAGTCCCAGCAACTAGCCCTGCAGAGCAATGTAGCTGGGGGCTGTGGGGCCAGGTGCACAGGGTCCAAGTCCTGACTCGAACACTCCCTAGTTGCGTGACCTTGAGCTAGTTAGTTCCCTTTTGCAGACTTCATTGTCCTCCACAGTAAGAGAGGACAACACAGTACCTCTGTCACAGAGCTCTTTAGGAGATTCAATGACTTCATACTGGTGAGGTGCTCAGAACAGTGCCTGACATCATTATAGTTTAGTGTGGGCTTCTTCCATTTCTGATATAGGGTAAATATTAGCTCTTGGGAAAGATCAGACAGTGGAGGAGAATGGGCTTGATGATGTGGTGGTGGTATTTCAGCATATTGTTTCTGTGGTACTTCTGGTCCTTCCTGATATAAAGGGAAAAAGCCCTGTGTCCCCTAGACTGGTTCTTTTTTTTTTTAATGTATTTTTTTAAAGATTTTATTCATTTGAGACAAAGAGACACACAGAGAGAGAGAGAGACAGAGAGAGAGCATGAGCAGGGAGAAAGGCAGAGGGAGAGGGAGAAGCAGGCTCCCCGCTGAGCCAGGAGCCTGATGTGGGGCTTGATCCCAGGACCCTGGGATCATGACCTGGGCCGAAGGCAGACGCTTAACCATCTGAGCCACCCAGGCGCCCCCCCTAGACTGGTTCTTGAGATAAAATTCACATATACAGTTCATCCATCGAGAGTGTATTGTTCAACAGTTTGGGGTATACTATACTATTAATCTTGTTTAAACTCTGGTAAAATATATACAAAACACAAAATTTGCCATTTTAACCCTTTTTAAATGTACAGTTCAGTGGTACTAGTTGCATTTATAATGTTATACAACATGACCTCTATCTCTACAACTTTTCCTTCACCCCCAACAGGAAGTCTGCCCAGTAAGTAGTAACATCCCAGCCCCTCTCCCTCGGCCTCTGGTAACCTCTGATCTGCTCTCTGACTCTATGAATGAGCCTATTCTAGATATTTAATGTCAGTGGAGTCATACAGTATGTGTTCTTTGGTGTAGGCTTATTTCACTCAGCATCCTTTTTTCAAGGTTCACACATGTTGTTGCACGTATCAGAACTCCATTCCTTTTTATGCCCGGGGAATATTCCATTGTGTGGCTATACCCTATTTTGTTTATCCCATCATCCATCGGTGGATATTTGGGTCGTCTCCTCCTTTTAGCTATTGTAGTAACGCTATGGTGGACCTTGGCTTACAAGCATCTGGTCAAGTCCCTGCTTTCAATCTACCGAGGAGTGGAAGTGCTAGGCCATATAGTAATTCTGTTTTAGCTTTTTGAAGAACTGGCAGCTATTTTCCTGGAAAGGTCATTCTGTCCTCTGGTATTCCTCTCCTCAGATCCTGTTCCATTTTTGTCTTGTCGCCCGAGTTTCCCTGTACTTCCAAGCAGCAGACATGTTCTTGTCCCCTCTGACCACGTGTCTCCCCTCCACGCGTCTGGGAAATAGCCCACTTCTCTCTTCCCCCTGAACTGGCCGAGCATATCTTGCCCACTCTGGCCCCTCATGCACCCAGTCATTTTTCGTCTAATTGTCCAAGGAAGGGGAGTTTACGTAGGTCATCCACAGGCCTCAGTCTACTTCGTCTGGGGGTGATTTCAGCCACTCAGATGCCCCTAAAACGTTTTACTTGAAGGTGTGGGAAATCAGGGATGTGGAGCCAAAGGCCCTGCAGGATTGCAGCCCTCCTTAGACACACTCCTTCGCCCCCACAACACCTTGCTTTTTTCCCTGCATCAACTTCGCTTGTCTTTACGGGCAATTTGGCCACTCTGTCCGGCGGGAGAGTTGTTCTCCACTCTTCATTTGCTCACAGCTTCTCCACTTTTCTCTGAGCAAGTGAATTAATTAACAAATACTCCAGCAGACTGTAAGCCCGCCTCAGACAGCCATTCTGGTTGTTGGGTAATTGTTAGCCAGGCTTTCTGGATGTCATTCATTTCACAATCAAGCTCCTAATTAATCTCAGCACCATTCTCACCAGAAGAAAGGCTGATGCGGGGAAACATCCCCGATTACCATGAGAAAGGAAATGTCAAGAGCCCCGTTGAGTTTTCCTGGCATCCACCCCTCGTCTCAGATGAAAACTGCCATTAACGCGCGCAGAGAGGCCGCCTGGTGAGCAGGCCTGAAAACTCACGCACTGTGAGAGCATGAGGAGCCCCGGACACCCGGACCCCGCTCCGGGAGGAACCTGCAGGCTCTGCGCTCTCATTTCACAACACTGATTGTGTTTCCCAAGATAGCGTGGAGAAGCCCCATGCTGTGTGCCCATCAGGGCGGGGGAGCTCTGCTGTCCCTGAAGCCAGTGGGCCAGTGTCAGTCGGGAAAAGCTAAAGGTCTCCCTTTTTTGTCTGTGTTTTTGTGTCCACAGGACAAAAGATCCTTCATCACCGAAGTGACGTTTTAGAAACAGTGGTCCTGATCAACCCCTCAGATGAAGCAGTCAGCACTGAGGTAAGCATCTGGCCCCGCGGTGTCACACAGTGGACGGAGACCGCCTGACTGGGAGGGCAGGGGCAGGCCTGGTGGGGCAGGAGAAGGACATGGAGAGAGAAGTTCTGGATCCAGGGACACACCCTTACCTCCAATCAGCGGCCGGTTCTCTACCTTAGTGCCACCCCAGACTGCCCTTCCCGGTAAGGACAAAGTGGAAGATGCTAGGCAGAACTGTGATTGATATTTTATACAGGCAAGGGAATCTGAAATCTTGGGTATTTATGGAGGGTGTGCTGCTGGGTGGTGTCTGGCTGGGATGTAGCAGGGGAAATAGACTACAAGCCCTCAGGCCAGGACATTTAGGACACAAATTTGGAGAAAAATGGTATTGTAGAGGCAAGCTCCCTTCAGAGCCATTTGGCTTACCCCCTGTAATCCCCACTGAAAGGCAGGCTAGCCTGGCGATCAGGAGCATGGCCTTGGGTCCTAGACTCCCTGGATTCTGCCACTTTTTAGCTGGTAGCCTGGGGCAAATTATTTATGGTCTTTTTGTCCCCATTTCTACCTTTGTGACATGGAGATCACAACAGTGCTTCTAATGTGATTAGAAGTGTCAAATGCTTAAAACAGCACATAGCGTGGAACCACTGAAATATAAATGTTGGTTGTTCTTATTAATATTATTATTACTGTCATTTGAAATTATTGCCAAAAAAGAATAACTGGGTATTTTAGAGACTACAGTTAGATAAGAGCTTGGCTGAAGCCAAGAATCCCTGGCCCCCCAGGCAGGAGGAATTGCTGTAGCTCCGTTTTCCTCTTCTTTTATTGCAGGTTAGCACCTTTGAGATTGAGTGCTTCTTGGACATTAATGTTGCCACAGTCCCTGGGGGGCCTTCATTATCTACAACATCTCCTCTGCGCATGCTTTGAGCCTCTTTCTAAAATTGAGATACAATTCACATACCATAAAATCCATCTTTTAAAGTGTGTAATTCATTGGTTTTTAGTATATGCACAAAGTTGTGTGCCTATCATCACTCTCTGTTCCAAAACATGTCCACCACCCTTAAAAACCCCAAGCCGTTAGCCAACACTCCCCATTCCTCCCAGTTGCTGGCAACTTCTAATCTACCTTTTGCCTCTGTGGATTTGCCTATTCTGAGTATTTTGGATAACAGAATCATACTCTAGGTGGTTTTTGTGTCTGGCTTAGTTCACTCAGCATGATGTTTTCAAGAGTCATCCACCCTGTAGCATGCATCAGTACTTCATTCCTTTTTTATGACTGAATACTATTCCATTGTGTGGATGCACCACAGTTTGTTTATCCATTCATCAGTTGATGGACACTGGGTCGCTTCCACTTTTTGGCCGTCATTGTGTAGCCTGTTGTGATCCCACTTCCATCTGCCCCAGATCAGCAGGACCTCTTTGACAATCCATGAAGCCACAAGGCTGAGGCAAATGGGGGGCTAGCAGTCTCACTGTGATTAACAGAATCAGGAAGTAAAGACAACTTGAAATGCAAAAGGAAAAATAAAGAATTTCCTGAAGGAATCCAGGCTTGCTTGTGGAGCAGAAGGGGCTGGAACAATTATTTCGGTCTATGTGTGTTTCCTTGATTAGAACTCGAGGTTCTTGGGGGCCATGCGTCATGTCCTGTTTACTTTTGTATCCCTCCCTTGGTGTCTAGCATGATGCCTGGCAGTGAATTTGTGCTGAACTAAACTGTGCTCAGAACGAATACCTTGGTGCTTGGAGCAGTGTTTCTGCTGAAGGACAGGCTGGCTTCCTGCCACTTAAAGAACAGAGAGTTCTTTCGTGAAAACCATTTACAATTCTATTTAAAAGATTCCCACTTGGGAAAAAAAAAAGAAAAAGATTCCCATTTGGGGCAGCCTTTTGTTTCTGTTCAATGTCAGGCACCTTGCTGATCCCACTGGAGACGGCGTTTGGAGCTGAGCAATTGCTGGATGGCTTGGAAGGAAAGGGGTCCTGTAAGGGAGGGGCTGACTAGGGACCCTCGTTGGAAACCTGTGCTTCCTGAGGCAGCAGTCAGGGGAGCTGGACTGTACTTGGTGACTCAGCCTGTGAGACATCCCTAAGTCTCACAGAGCGTGCGCTGCTAGCAGACACAGCTGTGGAGACTGCTGTGCAAAAGACAAGGGGACTAGGGGGAGAAGGTCAATCACCACTACTGGTTTGGCTGTCTCGAACATGGAAGATGGCATTCATAGGCCAGTTGACCAGATGACCACACAGTTGTTGGCTCTGTCTACCTCCCCGGGGGAAATGAATGAGTTTGGTTGGTGATGGGTGTCAAGCCCTACAAGGGCCAGCCCTGTCCTGCGAGTGGGATGGCAGGCAGTGTTGCACGTGGCTCATGTTCTGCCCCCTGTGCTTTGTTTCAGGTGCGCTTGATGATCACGGACGCTGCCCGACACAAGCTGCTCGTGCTGACCGGGCAGTGCTTTGAAAATACCGGAGAGCTCATTCTCCAGTCCGGCTCTTTCTCCTTCCAGAACTTCATAGAGATTTTCACTGATCAAGAGGTGGGCTCCTGTCTGGAAATAGCTAAGCTTTACAGCTGCTTGGTTATGGTTGTAGCCTGAGGCTCCACTTTGAAAGCATGGGATGGGGTTAGGGGAAGGGGAGGGAATGTCACACCTCCTTTGAAATAAGCACAACTGCACGATCCAACATACTGTAGTTCTACGACTCATCACCAAAAGAATTCGGGGCAGCCATCTATAATGAACTTGAACCATTCTTGTTGTGCCGGAGATGGAGGTAGAGGGGGATTGGAACAGTCAGTATTTTAGAGATGGCAAAAATAATGGAGAGACTTGAAATGACAGAGCCCAGAAGAAAACCCAGGTGTCCTCTTTTCTGAAAGAGTACTCCAACGATGTCTTGGTCTTTTGGTAGGATTGAACTGCCCTGATCTCTTTCAGTATTTGTTTGTTTTTTTTTTTTAAAGATTTTTATTTATTTTTTGGCAGAGAGAGAGAGAGACAGTGAGAGAGGGAACACAAGCAGGGGGAGTGGGAGAGGGAGAAGCAGGCTTCCTGCCAAGCAAGGAACCCGATGCGGGACTCGATCCCAGGACCCTGGGATCATGACCTGAGCCGAAGGCAGACGCTCAACGGCTGAGCCACCCAGGCGCCCCTCTTTCAGTATTTGTACTTACTTTTCCTGGTCTAATTATTTCTGACTGCTCTTACTGTTAATGCCTGGTCCTGATGTTTGAACTTGGGCTGCTTGAACAGCCCAACAAAGAGAAGGCTCAAGAAAGGGCGGCAGGTAGGAAAATGGAACACATCCATGCCCCCCAGAAAAAATGGTTAAAGTAGCTGGATTGAATCTGGGTCATTACTATTTCTAATGAACATATCTTATTCACTGATGATACATGTGAGGTGTTGAATATTATATGACATTAGTGGTATTTGGTAAAATCAGATTGAAGAGTCTAATTTGGTTATTTCTGCTTGAGAATCTATCCTGGCTGAGAAAATTCCCTTTCCAAAACAACATGCCTCTTTCATTTTGTTTATTTGTTTAGTAGTTAGACTATTCAGGGCCATCAGCTTGGCGTGTTGGGGCCTGCCCACGGCGGATTACAGGTTTCTACGTGGAGGGGTTGAGGGATGCGTGCATAGGAGGAGTCTCCATGTCCACTTGAAGCCCTGAGAACTTCCTGAGTTGGTGGCCTCTCAGCCTCCCGAGTGGCAAAGGGCCATCTGTCTTTCTGCATTTAAGCTTCCTTAGCCCTGGGCTTCACAGAGAGGTCTCTATACCTGTCATCGCTGGCGAGAGCTGTAAATAAACCTCCCAGCTTTGTTTGGCTTGCGTGGAGGCTTTGGGAAAACTCTGGCTAGGTGACTTAACAGTGTTTCACTCTCCACCCACTGGGGGGAATAAAAAACAGGGAAAAGAAACATTTCACTTAGCGTTTAAAGCCCCCACTTTTAGAAGGTGTGATGTCAGCTGGGTCCTGAGGCAGATAGCCCTGGCTCCCCACAGCAGGAAGGGGCCCCAGGGTGCACTCACAGCGGGTACCATCTTTACCACTTCAAAACGAATGAAGGCTTTTGTCCCTCTTTCTCCAGAGTTTGTCATCTGCCTACCTCCAAGGTTACAAGAGTTCAGCCTGCATGATTGGAAATCACTGGACTAGACCAATGGTCACCAGCCTTTTAGAGCCATGATTGCCTACTGTGGTCTTGGAGAAAGGGTTTGAATACAGAATGACTCAGTAACAAAGGGACCTTAAAGGTCATTGGTGTTTAGTTTTGTTCCTTTTATCCAGTCCTTGATATATGCTAGACACTCCAGGGAAACCAGAAACACCATTTAGGAAAGACAAAATGATGCATTTTTTAAAATAAAAATAGATAAAAATAAGTGGACTGAGAAGTACAATTACCAACACATTTTGAGCTTCAGGTTGTGGGAGTCTTAGTCATTGGAGGTCAACTACATAACCAGAACTTAACAGATAGAAGAGTCGTCTGGCTAACCCATTCCTTCCTGAAATCTGAGGATGATGAAATCACATCTCCTGGGACAGTTTTCAGTCTCTCTGTTAGAAAGTTTTTCCTTCTTTGTCTCATTGTATCTTTAAGGAAGGAATGTGCTCCCTTTCCCACTTGATGATATCTCAGATACCCTTCACCAACACTGCCAGTTGTGTTTTTCCTTCAGATTAATTATTTCCAGTTCTGCACACTGTTCTTTGTAAAAGAAGATAGTAAAAGTTCCTTATGTTCTCTGGTCACTTTCCTTTAAACCTGTTGGCAGGAAAGGGATGACATGGGTATGGCAGAAAGTGAGAAGCTGTCTTGGTCATGTTTTAGTGCCTATGTTTTAGTGCCTTGGTGTTATCAGACAATTAGATACATGAGTCAAGGGCTCAAGGAACCAAGAGCTGGGCTGGAAACATGTGGGAGCAGATGAAGTGATCTAGAGAGAGAAGTGTATTGAAGAGCAAGGGGCTCAGGTCTAGCATTTAGAGGTTATGTCCAAGGACAAGGAGCCAGCAATTTCAGTTTGTCTGTTTGGTTTTGGTCTAGTTTCTTTAAAATGTCATGACTCATATGGGATACCATACTCCAGGAGTCACTAACCAGGTTAGGACTTCTAACCTGACTTCTGTAGTTTTTAATACAATCTTCTATTAAGAAAGTCTAAAAGTAACTTTTGACCATCAACATCCATAATTAAATGTCAGTGGGGAGGGGATGCAGGCTTTGAGGAGTGCTATAATTTACAAAAATTGGGGGCTCACTTTAAGAAAAAGAAAATAAAATTATCAGTACACAGTTAAGTACAGGGCTCTGGGAGGGGACCATGCCAGTGAGGAGCCTTGAAGTTTAAGCTTCTTTAGCTTTATGATAAATCCATTTGCCTGTCAACTAAAATCCCTGAGTCTTTTCCATGAATACTGTTGTTAAGCCACATCTCCCAATCCTTTGCTTTATCCCACTGGTTTATTGGACCTTACATTTATCCCTTTAGTATGCCATCCTGTTAAGAGTTGATTTAGCCATCATCATCCCAATGTCAAGAGCTTTCGTGAATGTTTTAATTCTGCCATCCCACGTTTTGCTCTGCCTCCCGTTTTCATGCCACCGACAGATTTGATAAGCATGTCTTTACCATTTTTATCCAAGTCAGTGCTCCACAGGACATAAATGGGCCCTGAGGCATTCCATCACAGACTTCCGTCCAGGATGACACTAAGCAACAGGATTTATATGACTGGCCACGAATCCACCTCATTCTGCTATCACACTGTTCAGAGATCTTATTAAACGTCTTGCTAAAACCCAGAGATACACTGTCCACTGTATTTCCGCATCAGTCAAGCAACTAACCTAATCAAAAAAGGAAATCTAGTTAGAGCAGGCTGTGGTTTAGAAAGTCAAATCTTATTTCATTATCTGCAGTAAAGTCATTTATTTCCCATATCTTCCTTCCTCTTCCAGTATGCCTGCATTTAATTAGAATTTTAACATTTTTAACAAAAAAGACTATCTTTGCCCCAAGCAATATTTCTTCCAGTCGTGTCTCTCATCTGTATTCGTAAGAACAAGGGAAGGGTAGCAATCAGTGTGCTTGAGAAGTATTCGCAGGCTCATGGTCACTTCCAAAGCAGCCACTCCAGGAGGACAGTACATATTGAATTGGCCAAGTTTAATGAACATTTCTGGAGCTGATGATGTATTAGGGAAACACACATAACGATACAGAGATACAGAGGGTGTGTTTCCTCCTATTCAGGAACCTTTATAGACAATGGTCTATACTAAGTACCATTTACTATGAGGATAATTTCCAAACTCTTTTAGAGGAAGACTCTGTTTCCAAGTCTGAGATGTACTCACAAGTTTCCTTGCCACTGCTAACATTGTTGGCTCCTCCTCATTGCTCTCATCTGTGCGTTGCATAAGCACAGATTGAGTGGGTGCTCTTCAGACTTGGTCTTTGGCCTGAGGCACTCACTCCAGCGTGCGTGTTGGTGCGCGGGTCTGGAAGCTGGCCCGGGGAACTGGGGGGTTGGGGATGCAGGGGCTTTTTTTCCCACTGTGTAGCTCCAAGACTGTGGCGATCATGCCTCCTATTCCCTCTCTCCTTCATGAAGGCCTCTCTGTAGCTCTGCTCTCTGCATTCCTGCCTCATCATGCCCAGTACGCTGCGGCTTCTGCAGAGACCAGATTTTCCCTTTCTGAAAGAAACCTGTGTGGTGCTGACTTTTTTCTCTGCTTTCCCTTGTACTCCATAGTTTTCTATTCACCGGGCTCTCTGCTGGTTTTCAGTACCCTTGACTTCCTTAAAATTCTGTGCAAACTTGCTTTCTTTTGGGGTCACATTTCCTTTATTTCATAGAAACTTCCCAGCTGGAAGTGACAAGGTGCAAAGTAGGGAGGTATTCCTCAAGTTCTTCTTTTTTTTTTTTTAACCTTCTCCTTGAACTTGGTGATTCAATCCCCTCTACACACAGCTGGCTCATACCCTTAGTTGCCACAGCCCTCAGGGTGGAATTTTAAAAATTGAAATGAACTAAACTTAATTTTGAAATTTCACTATTAAAGACTCAGCATTTTGAGTTTTCCTAGATTTCTCCTCTACAGTGTATTATAAAGCATGAATAGTGTGTATGTACTTGGTGTGAAAATGAGGATGGAGAGAGCCCTAATTGTGCTATAGTAATGCTGATGAGGGCCTATGCTAATTATTGGACGACAGACCCTATTTGGTGCTCCTGTTTGCTTTGGTCAGCAGATAATTTGAGCAGAGGCTGCCCCAGATGTGCTTTTTCAGTTTTCTTACCTTCTAAAATAGTTGATTCTTCTCCCTTTCATAGGAAATTGTTAAGTCTGAGGAAAACGGCAAAGTCAAAGACTTCTTATTTTGCTATTTTGTGACCCTTCACATAAAATGTAGGATAAGTACACTTAACAAAACAAAAGTGGAGATGTTACTACAATCTAATGTAGGAAAATCCATCTATAAATTACGCATCTACACCACACACACTAGTTGCCTTGGAATGTTAGTGTCCAGGAGGTTGGTGTGAGACAGAGGAAACCATTCTAATACTGGAAGGTGAGAGTTCAGACCTGCTGGCTCAGGGATGCCTAGACCAAGTGAAGTCTTTGCTTTCCCTTTCATCGTTAACCATCAAAGACACAGAGCTCTTTCCCCTTGAAACTCTGGGCTGATTTATGAGCTTTGCTGCAACTGATAGAAGACTGGAGTTGATGACACGATTCTCCCTCAGTGTTTACTAAGCCAAGACCATGAAATATATGGCCATAATATGGAGTGAGAAAGAAAATAGCACTTTCATTAAACACTGGTCTCTGTTTTGGTCGCGATTTGCTCTTCTGCATTCCGATCCTATGGTCCCATCCTATGCATTGAAAAAGTTTGCAGCCAAATCTGGTCTTAGCCACTCACACCCAGGTTGCCCTGAGAAAAGCAGGAGTTATGAGAAAGTAGAATTTCTCACCTTGGATTTAAACATGAGCCAATGGGGGACAAATCTAGCCACTTGCTCATATAATTAATTATCCATTTGCTTTAATCATCATGACTTTAATCAGAGTATTTGTATTTGCAGAGAACCCACTGGATGAGCCACTCATGTTTTAAAGATGCCAGAACCAGTAATATTTTGTAATGATATGCAATCTAGAACTTCCTGTCTCCAAGGGGAAGAAAAACACATCAAACTTTTTTCTTTGGTATTAACCAAATTCTAAAAGTAGTCAACAACTGGTGCACTAAATCTAAACTCCTTTAGTGTGTCAGTCAGGCCTTTTTGCCAAGCCCAGTGGAGTAAAGGAAAACATTTTATATAAGTGGTGAAATGACTCACATAGGCTTCCTCTGTGATTGTGTAAAGGGCATTCATGCATGGGGCAGGCACCCAGGGGTGATATCCAAAGTGCTTCATAACTGCTGTGGCACAGCCACTCATCATTCAGATGGTCACTGGGCCTAGAGCCGGAGCAGAGGTCTGGAGGTCCCCTGCTGGGCAAGAACAGAAGCCGGAGGGGTCCCAGGGGAGGTACTGGCGGTGGGGAGGGGTGGTTGAGATAGGACGGAGTAGTAGGAGGGGTCAGGACGGAGGCTGTTCACCTACCGGAATGGAAATATTTCTGCCTTTACCCAACTAGCATCTCTGAAATCAGCCCTTTGTGCACCCAATAATCCTGTAATGCATAGTAATGGATGGAGATGATGGATCAGTGATGACAGTCACTTAAGCCTTTTCTTTCTTCCTTTATTATTATTTTTTTAACTCCTAGATTGGGGAATTACTGAGTACCACCCATCCTGCCAACAAAGCCAGCTTAACCCTGTTCTGTCCTGAAGAAGGGGACTGGAAGAACTCCAATCTCGACAGACACAATCTCCAAGACTTCATCAATATTAAACTCAACTCAGCTTCTATATTGCCAGAAATGGAAGGACTTTCCGAGTTTACCGAGTATCTCTCAGAATCAGTGGAAGTCCCATCTCCCTTTGATATCCTAGAACCTCCCACATCGGGCGGATTCCTAAAGCTCTCCAAGCCTTGTTGTTACATTTTTCCAGGAGGGAGGGGCGATTCTGCATTGTTTGCCGTGAATGGATTCAATATGCTCATCAACGGAGGATCGGAAAGGAAATCCTGCTTCTGGAAGCTCATCCGACACTTGGACCGAGTGGACTCCATCCTACTCACCCACATTGGGGATGACAATTTGCCTGGAATAAACAGCATGCTACAGCGGAAAATTGCAGAGCTCGAGGAAGAACAATCCCAGGGCTCCACCACAAATAGTGACTGGATGAAAAACCTCATCTCCCCTGACTTAGGAGTTGTATTTCTCAATGTCCCTGAAAATCTGAAAAATCCAGAGCCAAACATCAAGATGAAGAGAAGCATAGAAGAAGCTTGCTTCACTCTCCAGTACCTAAATAAATTGTCCATGAAGCCAGAACCTCTTTTCAGAAGTGTAGGCAATACCATTGATCCTGTCATTCTTTTCCAAAAAATGGGAGTTGGTAAACTTGAGATGTACGTCCTTAACCCAGTCAAGAGCAGCAAGGAAATGCAGTATTTCATGCAGCAGTGGACTGGCACCAACAAAGACAAGGCTGAACTAATCCTGCCTAACGGTCAAGAAATAGATATCCCAATTTCCTACTTAACCTCAGTCTCCTCTTTGATCGTGTGGCATCCAGCAAACCCTGCAGAGAAAATCATCCGGGTCCTGTTTCCTGGCAATAGCACCCAATACAATATCCTGGAAGGACTGGAAAAGCTCAAACATTTAGACTTTCTGAAACAGCCGCTGGCCACCCAGAAGGACCTAACTGGCCAGGTGGCGACTTCAGCAGTGAAACAAGTAAAACTGAAACAGAGAGCCGATAGCCGAGAAAGTCTGAAGCCAGCTGCAAAGCCACTTCCTAGTAAATCTGTCCGAAAGGAGTCTAAGGAAGAGACCCCCGATGTTGCAAAAGCTAATCATGTGGAAAAGGCGCCCAAAGTTGAAAGCAAAGAAAAGGTGACAGTGAAAAAAGACAAGCCCGTAAAAACAGAGACCAAACCTCTAGTGACCGAAAAGGAGGTCCCCAGCAAAGAAGAGCTGCCTCCCGTGAAAGCTGAGGTGGCTGAAAAGCCCGCCACAGATGTCAAACCCAAAGTCGCCAAGGAGAAGACGGTGAAAAAGGAAACAAAGGCAAAATCTGAAGAAAAGAAAGAGGAGAAGGAGAAGCCAAAGAAAGAAGTGGCTAAAAAGGAGGACAAAACACCCGTCAAGAAGGAAGAAAAACCCAAAAAGGAAGAGGTGAAAAAGGAAGTGAAAAAAGAAATCAAGAAAGAAGAGAAAAAAGAACCCAAGAAAGAGGTTAAGAAAGAAACCCCGCTGAAGGAAGCCAAGAAGGAGGTGAAGAAGGAAGAGAAGAAGGAAATTAAAAAGGAAGAAAAGGAACCCAAAAAAGAAATTAAGAAACTTCCTAAAGACACAAAGAAAACATCTACTCCTCTATCTGAAGCCAAAAAACCAGCTGCATTAAAACCAAAAGTACCCAAGAAGGAAGAGGCAGTTAAAAAAGATGCTGTTGCTGCTGGGAAGCCAAAGGAGAAGGGGAAGATTAAAGTCGTTAAGAAGGAAGGCAAGACACCAGAGGCTGCGGCTGCAGCCATTGGCTCTGTGGCCGCGGCTGCGGCTGTGGTGGCCGCAGCTGGAATAGCAAGCGCCGGCCCTGCCAAAGAACTCGAGGCCGAGAGGTCCCTTATGTCATCCCCTGAGGATCTGACCAAGGACTTTGAAGAGTTAAAGGCCGAAGAGGTCGATGTGGCAAAAGACATGAAGCCTCAGCTGGAGCTGATCGAAGATGAGGAGAAACTGAAGGATACTGAGCCAGTTGAAGCCTATGTCATCCAGAAAGAGACAGAAGTCATCAAAGGTCCCGCTGAGTCTCCCGATGAGGGAATCACCACCACCGAAGGGGAGGGCGAATGTGAACAAACGCCCGAGGAGCTGGAGCCAGTTGAGAAGCAGGGGGTGGACGACATTGAAAAATTTGAAGATGAAGGAGCCGGTTTTGAAGAATCCTCAGAGACTGGAGACTATGAGGAGAAGGCAGAAACTGAGGAGGCCGAGGAGCCGGAAGAGGACGTTGAAGAAAATGTGTGTGTGAGCATTTCCAAGCACAGCCTCGTGGAGGAGGAGGAAAGTGCCAAGGCTGAGGCAGATGTGCATATCAAGGAGAAGAGGGGGTCTCTGGCCAGTGGAGATGACAGAGCAGAAGAAGACATGGATGAGGCAGTGGAGAAAGGAGAAGCTGAACTATCTGAGGAGGAGGTTGATGAAGAGGACAGAGCTGAGGATGCCAGAGAGGAAGAATATGAGCCCGAAAAAGCTGAAGCTGAAGATTACGTGATGGCCGTGGTTGACAAGGCTGCGGAGGCTAGCGGTGTCGAGGATCAGTATGGATTCCTTACCACAGCCATCAAGCAACCAGGAGCCCAGTCTCCTGCCCGAGAACCTGCATCTTCAATTCATGATGAGACTTTACCTGGAGGCTCAGAGAGTGAGGCCACCGCTTCTGATGAGGAGAATCGAGAAGACCAGCCTGAAGAATTCACTGCCACCTCTGGCTACACTCAGTCTACCATTGAGATATCCAGCGAGCCCACCCCAATGGATGAGATGTCTACTCCTCGCGATGTGATGAGTGATGAGATCAACAATGAAGAGACAGAGTCCCCATCTCAAGAATTTGTAAACATCACCAAATACGAGTCTACACTGTATTCACAGGAATACTGCAAACCTGCTGTTACGTCACTCAATGGATTATCTGAAGGATCAAAAACAGATGCCACAGATGGGAAGGACTACAATGCGTCAGCCTCCACCATCTCACCACCGTCATCCATGGAGGAAGACAAATTTAGCAAATTTGCTCTGCGTGATGCTTACTACTCTGAAGAGAAAGACCTGAAAGCCAGTGCCACATTGACGATCAAAGACACCATCTCAGCAGTTTCTGATGAAAAACTTAGTCCACCCAAGAGCCCATCCCTGAGCCCATCTCCTCCATCACCCATAGAAAAGACCCCCCTGGGTGAACGCAGTGTGAACTTTTCTCTGATGCCCAATGAGATTCAAGTCTCAGCAGAGGCAGAAGCAGCCCCAGCGTCTCCTGAGGTGACCCAAGAAGTAGTTGAAGAACATTGCGCTAGTCCTGAGGATAAGACCCTGGAAGTCGTGTCTCCATCTCAGTCTGTAACTGGCAGCGCTGGCCACACACCTTATTACCAGTCTCCCACTGAAGAGAAATCTGGTCACCTCCCCACAGAAGTAATTGAAAAACCACCAGCAGTTCCAGTGAGTTTTGAATTCAGTGATGCCAAAGATGAGAATGAAAGGGCTTCCATAAGCCCCATGGATGAACCCGTGCCTGACTCGGAATCTCCTATTGAAAAAGTTTTGTCTCCTTTACGGAGCCCTCCCCTAATTGGATCCGAGTCTGCATATGAAGGTTTTCTAAGTGCTGACGACAAGGCTGCTGGTAGAGGTGCTGAAAGCCCCTTTGAAGGAAAGAATGGAAAACAAGGCTCTCCAGACGAAATAAGTCCAGTTTCTGACATAACTTCTGCTGGTCTTTTCCAAGACAAAGAGGAAGGGAAGAGCACAGACTTTATACCAATAAAGGAAGACTTTGGTCAAGAAAAGAAAACTGATGATGTCGAAGCCATGAGTTCTCAATCTGGACTGACTTTAGATGAAAGGAAGTTAGGAGGAGATGTTTCTCCTACACAAATAGATGTCAGTCAGTTTGGATCTTTTAAGGAAGACACTAAGATGTCCATTTCTGAAGGCACTGTCTCAGACAAGTCGGCTACTCCTGTTGATGAGGGTGTAGCAGAAGACACATACTCTCATATGGAGGGTGTGGCCTCAGTATCCACAGCTTCCGTGGCTACAAGCTCATTTCCAGAGCCAACAACAGATGACGTGTCTCCTTCTCTGCACGCCGAAGTTGGCTCCCCACATTCCACAGAAGTAGATGATTCCCTTTCAGTGTCTGTCGTGCAAACGCCTACTACTTTCCAGGAAACAGAAATGTCTCCATCTAAAGAAGAATGTCCAAGACCAATGTCAATTTCTCCACCAGATTTCTCCCCTAAAACAGCCAAATCCAGGACACCAGTCCAAGATCACAGATCAGAACAGTCCTCAATGTCTATTGAATTTGGCCAAGAATCCCCTGAGCATTCCCTTGCTATGGACTTTAGTCGACAGTCTCCAGATCACCCTACGGTGGGTGCAAGTATGCTTCACATCACTGAAAATGGGCCCACTGAAGTGGATTACAGTCCTTCTGACATGCAGGACTCTAGTTTATCACATAAGATACCACCAATGGAGGAGCCATCCTACACCCAAGATAATGATCTTTCTGAGCTCATCTCAGTGTCTCAGGTTGAGGCCTCCCCATCCACCTCTTCAGCACATACTCCCTCTCAGATAGCGTCTCCTCTCCAAGAAGACACCCTATCTGACGTCGTTCCTCCCAGAGATATATCCTTATATGCCTCACTCACCTCAGAAAAAGTACAAAGTCTAGAAGGAGAGAAGCTCTCACCAAAATCTGATATTTCTCCACTCACCCCAAGAGAGTCCTCTCCTTTATATTCACCTAGCTTTTCAGATTCTACCTCGGCTGTCAAAGAGAACATAGCAGTTTGCCACACTTCCTCCCCTCCATCGTTGGATGCAGCATCCGCAGAGCCCTATGGCTTCCGTGCCTCGATGTTATTTGATACAATGCAACACCAACTGGCCTTGAACAGAGATTTGACCTCCTCTGGTGTGGAGAAGGACAGTGGAGGGAAGACACCTGGTGACTTCAGCTATGCCTATCAAAAGCCCGAGAAAACAGCCATGTCCCCAGATGAAGAAGGTTACGACTATGAGTCTTATGAGAAAACCACCCGGCCCCCAGACGTGAGCGGCTATTACTATGAGAAGACAGAGAGAACCACAAAATCCCCGTGTGACAGCAGCTACTCTTATGACACCGTTGAGAAAACCACCAAGACCCCTGAAGATGGTGGCTATGCCTATGACATTGCTGAGAAGACCACCCGGAGCCCTGAAGAGGGCGAGTACAGCTATGAGACAAGTGAGAAGACAATGCGGTCCCCTGAAGGGAGCGGTTACAGCTATGAAAAGAGTGAGCGGTCTAGAAGGCTCCTGGATGACATCAGCAATGGCTATGATGACTCTGAAGATGGCGGCCACACACTTGGGGATTCCAGCTACTCTTACAAGACCACTGAGAAAATTGCCAGTTTCCCTGAGTCTGAAAGTTTCTCCTATGAGACACCTACAACAGCTACCCGAGCCCCTGATGCTTCCACGTACTGTTATGAGACGGCAGAGAAAATTACCAGAACCCCCCAAGCATCTACGTATTCCTATGAGACTTCAGACCAGTGCTACCCTGCAGAAAAGAAGTCCCCCTCAGAGGCTCGCCAGGATGTGGACTTATGCCTTGTGTCCTCCTGTGAATACAAGCATCCCAAGACGGAACTTTCGCCCTCCTTCATTAATCCCAATCCTCTCGAGTGGTTTGCCAGCGAAGAGCCAATTGAAGAATCTGAGAAGCCCCTCACCCAAGCGGGGGGAGCCCCACCACCTCCAGGAGGAAAGCCACAGGGGCGACAATGTGACGAAACCCCTCCCACCTCAGTCAGCGAGTCAGCTCCATCCCAGACAGATTCTGATGTCCCCCCGGAGACCGAAGAGTGCCCTTCCATCACAGCTGATGCAAATATCGACTCTGAAGATGAATCAGAAACCATCCCCACAGACAAAACCGTCACATACAAACACATGGACCCACCTCCAGCTCCCATGCAGGACCGCAGCCCTTCTCCACGCCACCCTGACGTGTCCATGATGGACCCGGAGGCCTTGGCCATTGAGCAGAACCTGGGCAAAGCTCTGAAGAAAGACCTGAAAGAGAAGACCAAAACCAAAAAGCCAGGTACAAAGACCAAATCGTCGTCACCTGTCAAAAAGGGCGATGGGAAGTCGAAGCCCTCTGCAGCTTCACCAAAACCAGCGGGCTTGAAAGAATCCTCAGATAAGGTGTCCAGAGTGGCTTCTCCTAAGAAGAAGGAATCTGTGGAAAAAGCAACAAAAACCACTACCACTCCTGAGGTCAAAGCTGCACGTGGGGAAGAGAAAGACAAGGACACCAAGAATGCTGCCAACACTTCCGCATCCAAATCGGTAAAGACTGCAGCTGCAGGTAGGTGGAAGGTGCCAGCACCCTGATACAGGCCACAACTATTCCACTGTGACCGGAGCCTTTGAATGTCCCTGTGACTTGGTACTGGGAAGATGAGAGAGTACAACAATCCCTTCCCTTTTACTAGTCTCTTCTGCCGAAACGTGGTGGGTGTGAGTCCCGCGTGGCCGCAGGCAGCACATTGCCCAGAGCAGCTCTGATTCACCAGCTGTGATCTCCTGGGTTTGCTCCCTTCGGCCACACAGCAACCACAGCCTTGTTCTAAATCTTCAGAACCAGGGATGTGTGTTTCAAGCTCCCCTGGAAGACTGTGTTGGTATTGGCTTCAGTCACACTGGCCTCAGAATCGAGCCAAGGTGACACAGGCCAGGAGCTCCCGAAGGTTTCAGGAGCACAGGAGTGCCAAGCTGAGCCTAGCGTAACCAGTGTAGGCCCAAGATTCAGATTCAATTCTTTTATGAAAAAAAATGTTTAAGTAAAATTATAACATTTTTTAAAGTTATAACATTTAAAATTAAAAATTAGAAAAATTTTAAATTAAAAAGAATCGCCAGTCTAGAGTGACATGCACATTAAAGGCAGTGCTCTGTTTTCTTATTGGCCAACGAGTATCATAATTTCAGTTGACCAGTACCCAGTACAAACTGAGAGAAAAACATCGAAGGCTCTTCTTAACCCCCTCTTATGCCGCGGTCTCACTAACAGAGAGTCGCGATTCTATTCCAAGTTGAAATTCAGTTGGTAGAAGGAGATATCTCTGACTTCTGATCATTTCTCTTTTGGTCCCAATTCCCTTATTCAATTCCCAAAAACCCAGCAATAACCTGGGTTTTTGATGGAACAGGTCTCTGATGGCCCAGCTTCATTTCTTTGCTTCAAACCAGTCATAGGGATTTGCATTAATACATTTTATTTGCTTTAAGTAGTTATTCAGGGATTTCAGACCTCTGTTCACAAAGTAATATAAATTGACCCAAACGTGTAAAGCAAAAAGTAATTTAAATAACATTTCCTCGTTTATTAGGGAAAAATCTGGTAGATGAACCTTGGGCCTCTCAAATTCTGTGCATTTTAGGAAGTATCACTTATAGCTGCCAAGCTCTACTTTAAGCAGCATGGAGGATCAATTTCAAGCCTGAGTTCTCATCACATTTCCTCTTTGTACATGCATGCAGAAAACAAACTGAATTAGTTCATGCTTAGAACTAATGGAAAACCACCAGATAATTAACCTCTTGGTCTGAAAGAGTTGGCAACCAGCCTGCACTTAGGAGAAAACATGACATCCTTTCAAACAGATAAAAACCAACTGAAGCTCGCTACCAAACTTGCCAGATATAGCCACTCTAGCCCACACAATGGGGTTTTTAAAACATTTTTTGTGTGTCGTTTAAAGAGATATTTTTAAGGCCAAGTAATAAATAAAGATGAGTTCATTTGAATTTACTTTGGAGGTGCTTTTCCAGTAGGTTTCTAAAACAACACAACTGCATTATTAATTGATTTTTTTTTTTTTTTTTAACAAATCTGGATGGACTGCTGTCAGTTCTCTCAGTTCGTTTAGTGTTGATGGTAGTGATTTAGCGCACAAGGGAAAATTGTGGACATTTTTAATCATTAGAACTGTAGTTAATAAACTTCTGCTATCAGTCAGAATTCTTTGGTAGGCCTAAATATGGACATTTTGAGGGCTTTTCGCTCAGATTCATTAAAATGGCTGGTTATTCATTAAAAATGAGTCAGTTTACCCAAATATCAGTTTGGCTGATTCTCTTCACTCCCCCACTCCTTCTAAAACTAAAACTGGACAATCGAAGGAATTCACTGGTAGTTTGGGTTGACAGTCTTTAACTATCCTATGGAGAAAGGAAAGAGGATTAAGTATATAGGATCCAGCTGGTATTTTATTTTATTTTTTTAATTTTTTTTTTAAAGATTTTTTTTTAAATTTATTTATTTGAGACAGAGAGAATGAGAGAGAGAGAGCACATGAGAGGGGGGAGGGTCAGAGGCAGAAGCAGGCTCCCCGCCGAGCAGGGAGCCCGATGCGGGACTCGATCCAGGGACTCCAGGATCATGACCTGAGCCGAAGGCAGTCGCTTAACCA